TCCAGAGAATCATTCCAGCAGATGACTTCAACAAATACAGGCTAATAAGATGGATTTAGCTCTAAATCCTTATAAGGTGTGACATTTATTGGATGTATCCGTCCAGGGGAGACAGCGGTCCGATTTAGCAGCTGAATATGAAGCAGCGATGCTGCAGATCATAGTCAGGCCCTCAGTGTTTACTCTCTAATGCTGCATCACATACGAGCTGCCGTTGGTGGGTCACATGTGATCAAAGAGTCTCTGGAGAGAGGAAACTGGGTGCAAGCTCTGGTTTTGGGATCAAATGTCTTCATTGTCACCCAAAACAAAGACCTGGGATTACCTGAAGCTGCAGCTTTTCGATGCACCCCATTTTTAGCATACCTGAATGAAATGAGTGGCTCATTAGCTGGCCTCTGCTGAGCTAAATGAGCAGAACGAGCCTTTAGATTCAGACGTCTGAGACAAGGATGCATCTAATAGTTACAGGATGGTGGCTTTTCAGGATTGGATTAGATCACCCCTGACCTACAGAAAACCAAAGTGCGGCCATTTAACACAGAGGATGGAGTTGCTTAAAGGAGGTGGGAACTCATCAGAACCCACTCTGATTCTGATAGGAGGCGTCTCTAAACCTCTACATATTTCTCAGGTCCAATTAAAGCAGTCAGGGTGCTGCTGTGTGTTTATCCCAGGAGAGGAAGGGATGACGCTCCCCCAATCGTTATAAATAGCCGATTATCACACAAAGACACAGTGGCTATGTCAGAGCGTGCATGCTGCAGAGCAGGGTGATCCTGACGCCATCTCTACCTGTTCAACCAGTCCTTAAATCAAACAAACTACTGATTCTACACAAAAGATTTCAGTTCTCAATCTGTGGCTTTTTTTCTCTTACAGGAACGACACAGAAATGTCAGACAGATCCAAGGAAACAAACACTTCCGCAGATCAGGACTGAACAGGGACTTAGGCTAATGATTTTTACAGGAGCCAAAATACTTTAAGACTCTTATGAAGCTGAGGAGAAAATAGAATAAGGTTCAGCTTGACTACAATTTACCAAAGCTGTAGCCCTACTAAATAGATTAGTCAGATCAGCACAGGAACAAATGTAGATTTTGATCTAAACTAAACGTTAAAAGTGTCACACTTGTTTCAAGTTACTCAGTTTCATCAAACCAGTTAAACCAGCAGGATTCCAGACCCCAAACACTTCCATGTTTCAACTCAAAAACTATTTTAAAGCCCTCCCTCCATATTTTTACTTTTTATTTTCTTAAATTGTTTGTTTTTTAACGTAACTAAAGTTATCAGCAACTTAAAACTTCATACCAGCCTTAATCAATTAGGATCTTAAAACCTCTTAACAGCCACCTAATTTTAAGCAATCCTCGCCTTTTTCTATACCCAAATGTAAAAGCAAATAACTAAGGGACTGTAAGCCCAAATGACATATTTGATACCTCATTTGAAAGGTAACACCTTCTAGTCTCTGAAAGTATAAGTAAAAACTGTGTGACTAAAACGCAGCCTAAACTGCATCAGTTCAAACATGATGCAAAGTTGGGTTTTTTCTTCTGGAAAATAATAGGTCAAAGCAGTAACAAAGACATGCTAGGGAATAGTCATTAGGGGTGTAAATAATAATCGTTTTGTATCGATGCATCGATCCAACAGCCGACGATCCGATGCATCGATACGTCCACAAGAGAATCGATTCATGTTTTTTTTTTTCCTCTGGTCTATTTTAATCCATTTGCTCCTGGGCGTAATTCTCCTCCCGTGCTGCGGTGGCGCTCAACATATTTTGCCCTCCTTCCTCGTTTCCTGGTTATACTCTTACAGCAGTGTGTTGCAGTGAGCTTGATGCAGACATTTTTGATTTATGCTCAAAATTGAAGCGTGGTCTGAGCTACACGCTGTGGGTCTAGATACGGCCGAGGCGGCGAGGAAGTGGGGGCGAGTTTAGTCCGACGACGGAGGGACATGAGGGCCAAAAAGAGCGGAGATCCAGCTGGAAAAAGGGTCCCAGCGTTCTCGCGCACCTCGCTCTTCTAGCGGGTCAAACTTCACGAGTTGTTTTCCGCAATTTCGGCCTTAAAAACAAAACAAGCCGGCCTCTGCGGCACTGTTTGCGGTCAGCTACAATTTGGGAGAGGAGCAGCGGAGCGTCTCTCAAGGGGGCGGGACGTCGACACTCTGGAGCCGAGGTATTGCATTGCACTCATTACGCTGATATTCTGCAGAATTTTTGCAGCATTTTTTGATGCAACTTTTCTACTTCTGTTATTTGTTGTTGTTTCTAAAAACAAAAAATGCATAACGATATTACAGCTTTCATTGATTTATTTCAAACTTGAAACTTTGTTTAGCCTGTAAGGTGTAAAAAAAATAAAATAAATAATTGAAAAAAATTAACCAAATAATCGATTAATCGAATCGAGATGTATTCTTGAGTATCGAAAATAATCGAATCGTTGTGTCAGGAAATGGATACTGAATCGAATCGACATCATGGATGTGATTTACACCCCTAATAGTCATGTGTTAGTATTTTACATGTATGCTGCATTATGTCAACAACTGCAGAAACTTTCAGACTTCTAGGTATAACAGTTCTAGAGATATGGGAGTTTTCACTTCTGGAGTCATCAGCGTCTCCAAACCTCTCCAAATTGTGCTTATTACTTTAGAATACAATTTTACCCTCCCAGAAAAAAAAAAAAATCACATTGAAGCATTTTGATGGCAACAAGATATTTTTGAAGGAAATATTTTTTATTTTTTTAACTGGTCCAAGTGGACGCCTCGCGGTTCGTCCTGGCGTCAAGTCTCAAAAAGGGGCAAGTGGACAATTTTTGTTTTGTAGGCTGGAAGGTGAAAACAAACATTGCCAACATTATGTGGATTTGTTTGTGGAAATAAGAGTAATTAAACAAGACAGTAAGCATTGGTGACTTTGTGGCGATTTTCTCATCGTGGAACGTTTATATTATGAATATGCTGTATTGCTTTTGATCTGTGAACCCTTAAAGACGAATGGAGCAAAAACTATTGAAGACTGGATTGATAATACGGCTTCTGGACGCCTTCAAAGCTACGATGTCCCAGCTCCTATGATTTCCCATGCTGCTATATCTGTTGATTGTGCTAATTGTGTCCATAACATGAAGTTGGTGGCTGAGTTATGGAGAATCTAAGCCTTCAAACGATGTCTAACCTTTCTAAATTAGTAAAAGTTTAATCGCTGTTATTTTAAAGCGTACTGCTGTGTTTAATGTAAAAACACAAAGTGCCGGCGATCAGGTGCAAGTAATGAGGTTTTAAGCTGCAGTTTCTATGCTTAGAGGGCAGCTTTGGTCTGCAGGGATTAATCTAAACCCATCTGTGTCAGGATTGTTAAAGTGGAGTGTAATTAGAAAACAGAACAACAATTGGATCCTTCATAAAACACCTTTTCTGGTTCGTTTAGATTAGGGGTCTGCAACCTTTCAGATCCAAAGAGCCGTCCCAACACGCCCCCGCAAAATACAAACCGACTTTTTTTAATATAACAACCTTTTTTTTTAATCTTGTATAGAAAATATGTTGCCATCTTAAACAATCAACAAAATCCAGTTTTTCTTTTTTTTAGCTTCTAATATATTAAAACATAATTTCCAAGCTAATTCAAGGAAAAATGTCTCTTAAAACATATTTCTGGTTCTTTTAATCTCATTTTTTCCATCTTATAAAAAAACACTAAAGCTATTAAAACTGGTAGTTAAAACTTATAGACCATTATTTTGCTCTTTATATACATTTTAGCCACTATTAAGAACCGCTGTAGAGGTTCATTATGACGCATAGCCTCTGCAACCGTCGTCGCGCACCTCAAAAAAATCCTGACTAGGCATGGATGGTCGCAAACCTTAAGCGGAAGTATGCAGACAAAAAAACAGCTGTGATCGATCAGATGTCTGTTTGGTCGTCCCTCTCGATTCGGTGCCGGGGCGCGCCATTTTTAAAAACTGAGGAACACCTACAATGGGCGACGACTACGACGAAAAGTTTATCGAGAAGGTTCACTCAATTAACAGAACCTATACGAGGTCTAGCAGCTCTAGATCCATCCCCATGACATCTTCCAGACGTGTCATTGTTGTTTTGGATGATAAACACTCCCGCCGGCACTGCCAAAGTTCTCGTGACCGTCTGCCGAAGTTTTCGCGAGTTCTCGAATAGGCTTCCGCTTGCGCTTTGGAAGGAAACTGCTGTGCGTCCCTACAAATTCCAGACCGACAGTGTAGAAGCATAACAGCAAAACTGGTTGGCCACCAGACCCAAGCGACATTTGATGTGTGCGGTTGCAAAAGTCTAATCTGCCCTTAAGAAGCTGAATCTGAAGCCGCAGGTTGTAGACCCCTGTTAAATTCAAACATGGCTGCAGTTCGACTGAACCACAGCTGGTTATGGAGCGATGGGAGCTCATCTCAGATCAGAAAACTGTAGAAATCATGGGAAACTTTGGCTCTAGAGAGTTCAGCTAACCATGGGAAGCAGTGGGGATCCTGAGTTTACATGTCAAAGCAGCAAAAAGAAAAAACAATAAGAGGTTCCTCATAAGTGTCACCCGATCACTTCATTTGAACTGAACAATCAGATCTGTTAGACATGGGGGTATTGTGCTGGGATGGTGCGTCTCTTACCTTCCCGGCCTTGTTGTCGAACCAAACCAGAGCATGGTTCCTGGACAGCACCTTGCAGTCAAAGGTGGCATTGCTCTGTGCCGGTCGGCACCGAGCCACAGACCTCCCGATCTTGACGGGCTCTTCCAGGTACACATGGCGCTCCTGGAATGGGTGCGAGTTGGGTCGGCAGGTGAACACAGCCAGTGCTGACGGCATTGATTTTGGCTTGAGAGTGTTACTCCAACCGGACACAATGGAGAGGTTGTCTTGATCCAGATTGGCAGGGTTCCGGTGCATTCCCTAGATAAAAAATCTCAAATATCTGCAGCCTGTATGCAGGGCAGATCAACAAGTTCTCTAATCTTTTAGGCACTAACTGATAAGCATTGTCCACTGTCCGATCTGAAGACTTTGACTCAACTATGCGGTCAGGTGTTGGAGAAGCATAAAAAAACAAAGTTAACAGGTAGAAAAACACAAGACATTCCTTTTAAAGACTCCCACTAAAGCTACATAGCGACGCTTTAAGCTGACAGCAGACCAAGGGGCCATGTGTCAAGACAAACTTGACCGCTTACAGCGTTGACAACCTGGCAAACAGCCCCTCACGTCCATCAAACTGTTCAAGCTCTGGGGCTGGCTGCTAGAACTCGGCTGATGCCAGAACCGGCCCAAAGAAATCACCCAACCCGCTTGTTTCCTGCTGTCATTGACTACTGCGCCTTTTTGACCCGTGATGAGCTCACCTGGAGCAGGCCAACAGAACCCCCCCTCCCCAGGGATAACCCTGAAGTCTCACCTGCAGCCTGTCGGTGTGAGCGGCTCATCAGAACCTGGGTCACCTTGTTATCCTCACTTAGGGAGCCTTAGATTAGCACCTAACGTCGGTTCTCCACTCCCTCCAGAAAGCGCTAAAGACACCCAGTAAAGCCAGACAGCCAGGACCCCCCCGTGGGTCAATTAAAGCAGCTCGGTGTCCATTCACAGGATATCGGCCACTTGAAACTCTCCGCAGACAGGGGCAGCAGGTCGGCCTGTTCAACTGGAATGCCAATCTCCAAACTATCGGCCAACCGGCTAGGCTACGCTAGGCTAGGCTAATGAGAACTAACAAAGTTATCCTTCAGCTCCTCCGATGTTTTCTCCCGGCCCTTCTCAGCAAGTTGTCTTCCCGCGTGGAGGCGATGTGCCATACCTGTCTGCAGCAGCAAGGAAGGCCAACGAGACAAGGCGTCATTGGCTACAAACCGAGCCCCGAACCACGGTTAGCTAGCTAGCTAGCTTCTAGTCGCTGCTACCTGACAGCGAGAGCGGAAAAATCTGGGGAGTTTCTTCTTCACTGCGGCTCCTCATGCATCACACTGGGGTTGGGTTTCAGGGAAACAAGTGGGCTGTTGTTGACTGAACAGGTCCCAGCCGAGTCTTCCGGGATGGGTCAGGGTTAAAGCTGCTGGTCTCCAGCGGTTCTCTGGAAAATATCTAGAAGAAGTTGTCTTCCTCCGCAAGTCCGAGCCGCCGCCATACTGGAAGTACAGGCGTGGTGCGTTCACGGCCCCGTAGGATTAACCCAACTCTGGTTAGGACATCCATCTGAAAGACAGACTGATTGATTGATTTTTATTTTTTGGACATGTTCAGTTTTTGCTCTTTTCAGCAGTCCAGCTGATGTTTCTTGTGATGCAACTCTGATTGTGCTCCAGTATGGAGGACCAACTCTGCCATATTTAAAAATAAATACAGAAATAAATAAATGTTCAGTAAATAAATAAGCATACAATTAATTGCCCCCCAAAATACAATAAACTAATAAATGTAGGTAGAAATTAAATTATACAGTGAGACATAAATGTATATATCTCTTTTAATTTGTTTCTTATTTATTCACCTTTGTAATAATTACCTTATTTATTTATTTTCCCTCGCATTCTTTCACTTAATTTATTTATTACTTATTTTTTGTAAGTATTTATGTATGTGCATCATATAATATTTTTGTCTGGTTTATTCATCCTTTGTATTTTTTACACTCTTTATTTCTACAACACTATTTATTTCTGCCTGTCGTTTTTACATCTCTATGCATTTCTGCCTCCTTATGTAAATGAGGAGGGGCTGTGTCTTAAAGGGTTAAACTTTAAAACTTCAAAAATTATTGCAACCGCAAAGAGGCAACACAAATAGTTAAAGGGAATAAAGTCACATATTAAAATAAAATGATTATTTATATATATATATATATATATATATATATATATATATATATAAAACATATCTGGTAAAACAAAAAGAAATGATTATGAAAAATCAGCAAAAGTTTGACTAAAGACTCGCTGGTTTTGGGGCCTGGAGGAAAACACCTGACTATCAAGCGGTATTTAATGAGAGCATTTTGTTTTTTTTCTACTGCAACACTTACCGCAATAACATGCTTTAAATAACAACGGGTAACATGTCCTTTAAGGCATAAGGAGAACAGCATAAAGGAGAATGGAGCAACCGTGTAAAACCACGTTGGACCTCCTTGCTGTTTCTTCGTCAAGAGGTAGAAAAGCTCCTGGTCTCAGCAGCTCTGAGCAGCCCTCCTGCAGGGCAACCAGAAGGACCAGCTGTCACTATGCCAACAGCCAGGCTCTTTGAGATCTGCCAGCTTCTTACTGGGTTTTATCCTCTTAGAACTCAGCTGGACATCACTCAGCCTCTGTTTACTTACAAAAACAAATAATAAAGAAAAAAAAGAAGACACAATTATGGTCTGGATAAATAATTAACCTCCTGGATGAGTAAACTATATAGAAAATATGGTAAGAGGAAAAAAGAGGAGAAAATGTAGAAGTGGAAAGAGCTGCATATTGAATTTCTTTCATGTTTTATTTTTATCCTTTTCTTGAATAACAGGAAATTACAGTAGGAAGAGTTTATCAAAAATGAGTTGATAGATCAATGCTATTTTAAAATTGATATTACAGGATGTTTTCATGCTTGTTAATAGATCAAGAGAAATAAAAATGGATCAACTTCAACTAGAATATCTACTGATGAAGATGAGTTGAAAGGGTTTAAAGATGCACAATAAGTCTGCATTCATCTTAAGAAACAATGATCTCTTTAAAATGAATTTCTTTTAGACATTTTTTATTGTTTTTGTTTAGAGTTGCATGAATCATTATAGCAGAGAAGATAGAGGAGAGCAGGAGGCGGGGTTACCAACCTACTTGCTCGGGAGAGCAGAGTTAGCTGCTTTTAGATGTTGTCAACAAAGTCTCCAGTAGCAGAAAAAAATCGCTAGATTTGGCGCTAGGTGCCTAGAAATAAAATTTCTAGAGAGTTCAGAAAAGTCGCCTAATATAGCGACAAAAGCACAAAGGGCCGGATTTATCAAGATCCAATTTTGCGTGCAGTAATTTGCGCTCGCAAACTGGAATTTTGCGCGAGGGGCTGAACCATGGTTTGCGGGTGATTTAACAAGAGTGATTGCGTAACTGGTGGCAGGTGCTAAACTGTTGGAGACGCCCTATTTAAATGATGGTTTTGCGCGTTTTGTGGTTTGTGGCAAAGTAGTTTGTAGTTTCTACAAACTAGTGCATTAAAGGAATAGTACACCCAAAACATGATTAGCCTCCATTTTCTACTCACCCCCATGCTGAACAACACCCTGGAGTACTTTTCTGATATCTCAAATGCATCTGGAGATCTGGGAGGCTTCTTGCTGTCTGCTGACATTCAAATAATGGAGGTCTATGGCGCCCGAGGCAGAAAGGTCCATAAAAGTCCACAAAAAACGTGTCAATATTCCTCCATACTGCTCGTCCAATGTATTCCAAGTGTCCTGAGTGGGTAGCGTCCATAATTTACTCGAAACAAAGTCATTTAGAATGTTTTTAGAGCATAAACAGTAGTGTATAGGATTTCCTGAAAGCGCGTTCACGAGTCTACGGAAATTGCGGCAGACCAAACCAGATGAAAGTGCGCATTCAGCTCGGCAAAGAACTCATGCTCTTCCTCAACACTGAAGTCCTCAGACATTTTTCTTTCGTTGTTTCTTTCTTTGCACAGGTAAACAGCACATTTCTTCTTCTACGCTTGCATTATCGGCAGAGCAGACGCTGAATGCGCACTTTCATCTGGTTTGGTCTGCCGCGGTTTCCGTAGACTCGTCAACGCGCTTTAGGAAATCCTATACACTACTGTTTATGCTCTAAAAACATTCTAAATGACTTCGTTTCGAGTAAATTATGGACGCTACCCACTCAGGACACTTGGAATACATTGGACGAGCAGTATGGAGGAATATTGACACGTTTTTTGTGGACTTTTATGGACCTTCTGTCTCGGGCACCATAGACCTCCATTATTTGAATGTCAGCAGACAGCAAGAAGCCTCCCAGATCTCCAGATGCATTTGAGATATCAAAAAAGTACTCCAGAGTGTTGTTCAGCATGGGGGTGAGTAGAAAATGAAGGCTGATCATGTTTTGGGTGTACTATTCCTTTAACATCCATTTTTTTGGGGATGTTTGACCCTTTGCTGATTTTACAAAAAAGGGACATTTTAGATGCTTTTAGTCCTATGTTATCTTTTTACAGGCTCCTGAATCACATAAAAAAGTAACTGGCTGTCCATTAATTGTAAGTTCTATGTATGTTTTTTCTTTTAATGCATTTAATAGCTCTCATGCTCCATACATATCCACTGTTTTTAATGCCCGCTGATTCCCATTTGCTCTAGCAGCTAATCACACCTCAGATTAAGGACTGCCCTGTGGACTCTTCCCCTGCCCTGCAGATCAGCTGATTGTATCTGTTTGGGACACTCCCTAAACCAATGGTCGGATGACCCAAAATTCCAGCATTCCTGGTCTGCTTTTACTGGTCTGGGCTGAAAGTCCCCTCGACCCCTGGGACCGCCCCTGGCCTCCTCGGAAACCTCCTCGATGCCTTCAATGGGGTCCGGTGGCTTGGAAAGAAATGTTTCTTCTGGCTCACATATAGAATCGGCCAAGAATATTTGAATATTATTTGCTTTATGAATGTCCATAATCCGCTCTGCTGTGGAAAACTGCAGTACGTGTTGACTAAACACAACAGCCTTATCACTCAGGCTGAAATTCATACTTGGATCAATCTGATGCATAACTTTTCATCCCCTTTAGGATCTTTCCTCTTACTCTTTCCTAAACCCATCCTATTTTTTTTCTATTTTGTTTTCCCTTTTTTACCTATTTTTCTCCTTGATCAAAGCGATAGACAGAAATCAAAGACAGTGATAATCTTTTTGTTAGTTAGTTTCCTCCCACTTCCCTCCATCCCTGTCACGCTTTATCCCTGCTGGGGTCACGAGGGGAGCTGGTCCTTATCTCCAGCTGTCTACGGGCGAGAGGCGGGGTTCACCCTGGACAGGTGGCCAGTCCATCTCAGGTTTCCTTCCACTTCAAAATTGTAAATTATTTAAATTAGTCTGTCAGCCAGTCGGCCAGTCACTCAGCCAATCAGTTAATCAAACAGTTAGTCAAAAAATTCAGTCATTCAAACAGTCAATCAGACATTAAAACAAAGGCAATTAATCAAAGGTCAGTCAATGACTGTGATTCGACCACTGAGCTGCTTTATTAAGGTAGCTCCACGTTGGAGTAGCTCTACTAGCATGACTCTGATCATCTTTTTATGAGAGCTTGAATCCTTCCATTTTTGGATCAGAGTTTCTTTTTCTGATGTTTTTCATCTCTGTTGATGAACGCTGTTAAACTGGATGGGTTTTCAGTGATATTCTTTTCCCTTTTGGATACTTGTTGTGATGATGTGTAACCACAGCAACCATAGCAGCTCTTTAATATCTTGAAAACTAAAATAATACTTCAATTACATCTGCAAGTACCAGCTGAGTAGTAAAGGAGTCGCCAAGGATACCGAGCAGGAGCAAGGAGGAGAAATTTAAACCGTCTCTTCCATCAATCATCGTGGGCAACGTGAGATCCTTAGGAACAAGTTTGAAGAATCCCAAGCCCTAGCAAGGACACAGCCTGAATATCGACAATGCAGCATTTGTGTGTTTTACTGAAACATGGCTGCAGCATCAGATCCCGGACTCAAGCGGACAGAGATTTAAAGAGGACTGGGAAATTCAAAGGAGGAGGGTTGGCAGTGTATGAGAATAACATATGGTGTCATCCAGGACATGTTGCTGTGAAGATTTGTCACCGCGGCCCAGATGTTGCACTTTTGGCGGTAGATTTTCAGCCATATTATTTGCCCAGAGTTCAGCAGTGTTCTGTTAGTGTTAGACACTGCATGTGATGCAATCAGTTCCCTTGTTGCTAAGCTACAAACACAACAGCCAAATGCATTTGTGGCAATAAGTGCTGATTTTAATCACTCCTCACCTCATCCTCGACAATACCAGATGAAACCAGAGAAAACACCAGACAAAACATAACTCCTTGACTCGTTTAATACAAAAATAAAAAGTCAAGAAGTCGTACATTTCTGAAGAAAGACCTCCACTTGGGAAACCAGATCACAATCTTTTTTTTTTTGCTCAGATTATAAGCCACTTTATATGAGACGACCTACATTAAATAGAACTGTAAGAGGATGGTCAAAGGAAGCTGAAGAAGCCCTGCAGAGAAAAAACATTCCCCTTCTGGACTCGGTTGCTGCTCTGCGTCGGCTGGCGCATGGTCTGCACGCTCTCTAGGAACTCTGGAGGTGGCGCCCGCCACAACTGCGGTCAAACCTTCCGTAGAGGAAAGCAACAGAGGAAAGCAACAGAAAAACCTGAGAACTAAAATAAATCTAGAAACACAAAGTAGGAAATAAACCAATAAAACACACGGATGAAAGTAAAAATTAAAGTAAGACTGTGACAAACAAAGTGTCTTCAGTAAGAGGCTTCTCAAGATCCGCTGTAAAACAGACCTCTACAGCAGATCCTTTCTGCCAACCGCTATAAACACCTACAACACCTGTTTAAAAATATATTGCATGAGTTACTGCAAGATATACTTTCCATTTGGGATTAATAAAGTATTTTTGAATTGTATTAAATTAGAATTCAATCAGTTTATCTGCGAGTCAGTTCATCAGTCATTTAATCACTCAATCAGTCATTCAATTCAATTCAGTCTATTTCTATTGCTCCAATTCACATCATGTTATCAACCAGATAATACAGTTCACCAGATCATCCAGTCAAATTGATTCAAAATTTTTCTATCTAAGAAAAAACAGCTGATTGCATCGACTCATTTACTCTTCAGCAATCCCTCAGATTAAGCATGTTTGTAGAGACAGGGGAGAGGAAACCTCTCTTCAATCAATCAATCAGTCAGTCAGATAATCTGACTGACTGATTGACATGGCTCTACGAATTAGATGAGCCCTTGAATGATATATTATCTACTGTAAATTAAGTTGGAAAAAAAAGTTCACAACTCAAGGAAAAGAGGTAAAAAGAAAAGAAATTTGAAAAGCTAAAAACTGAAGTTAAAAAGTTAATAAGCCTAGTTAACAAATATATTTAGGTCTATAAAATAAAAACACTCTCTGAGTGTTTTTCATGGATTTCTAATAGAAGCACTTTTGTTATTTTTTTCTTAATATCTTTGGGGAAGTTGGCGTTTCTTGTTATTACATTGACATTACTTTTTGCCTTCAAAATATTCCATAGTTTTTTTATGTTACAAAGGTAATAAATTCTTGTCATGGAAACTTTGATTTTCAAAGTATGTCACTGAGTTCCCTATAAAGGGCTAATTCCTTAATGAAAATAACTTAAATGATAAAAAATTTAAATGAATGACTATACTGACTGAATGAAGTGTTCAAAAAGACCTCTTCCTGGTTTTGGAATTCTTACATTCTGGCTGGACAGCACAACATATGAGTGTTTCTGTCACCATTATTGTCTGGTCTAATGTACTCCTGTGTGATCTCAGAAATACAGATCATATGAGAATGGAGATAGAATGAAGCAGAAAGATGAAAAAGGGGTCCCCACGTCCTCCAGCAGTCTAAGCCTATAGCAGCAGAACTATAGAGATAGCTCAGGATAACCTGAGCCACTCTAACTAGAAGCTTTATCAAAAAGGAAAGTTTTAAGCCTAGCCTTAAAAGTAGACAGGGTCTCTGCCTCACGGACTAAAACTGGTAGTTGGTTCCACAGGAGAGGAGCCTGATAACTAAAAGATCTGCCTCCCATTCTACTTTTAGAAATTCTAGGAACCACTAGTAAACCTGCAGATTGAGAGCGAAGTGCTCTGTATATAATAAAATACAGATAATATGCTTATTATTTAGCCTCTAACATCATATAAGTGTTCAGTGAGATTAATGGGGTGTAGTGTGGCTCTTTCAATTACTCATCTACTATTGATTTGGTCTCACCAAAAATCCTTAGGGAGATTTTTGAGCCATAAGCAGAATCTAATCTCCTCCAGTATCTCTCCAGTCCATAGCATCCTTTTCCCTCCTGCTCCCTCAGTCCACACAGACTAAAACAGTTTGTATTACTCTGATCATGAAAACTTATGAAAGGGTGTAATGGGGAACGATTCAACCCTAACACTTTACTGCTAGCCAATAAAAATAGATAACCACCTCCAAAAACACCATGACTATTGGAAGATTTGAAAACAAAAACAAAAAGACCAGTTTAGGTGATTAAGTGATGCCTGGTGTCATAAATACATCACTCAAACTGAAGACAGTATTAGAATGTTGTAAGTGGACGGGGCCGACGTTTACAGTTGCCTTTTGTATCGCTTCTTCTGTCTCCTTGAACCCCAGTGGGCCTCAGCAGATGGCCGCTCACACTGAGCCTGGTTCTGCTGGAGGTTTCTTCCTGTTCAAAGGGAGTTTTTCCTCTCCACTGTCGCTACAAGCATGCTTAGTGCAAGGGATTGCTGAAGAGTAGGGTTGTCAAAAGTATCGAAACTCAAAAAAGTATCGATACTGAAATGTTGTATCCGGATACAATACTCGTTTTTAAAAGTATCGATACAGTGCCGTCACCAGTGGCACTTAAGCAGTCATTCATCTAAAGTGCAGAATAGAGGACAATGCACTTTCAGAACACTGTGTGATTGAATAATTCTGTGCTCTTTTCAGTTTCAGACTTTTTTTTTGTAAGAGGTGCAGCTGCTGAGAATTATTTTTGTTTCTTAACTGGTTTGGCAAGTGTCATTGTTATGTGTGCAAAGCATAGCCAAGGAAGGAACACTTACCGGTAATTTGAATTTTATAAGTTTTTTATCAAGCTTGCTTAATATTGTGCACAGCATACAACCTTTATTGTGTTTATTTATTGTATTTTATTTATTAATGAAACAATTTCTGTAGACTTTTGGAGTCTTTGTTTTTATCCTTGTGGTATCGAAAATGGTATCGAGAATCGAATATTTTCCTTAGTATCGGTATCGAGTTGAAAAGTTTAGTATCGTGACAACCCTACTGAAGAGTCAATGGATCGATGCAATCAACTGATTTTCCTTAGATAGAAAACTATGAATCAATCTGACTGGATGATCTGGTGAATTGTAAAGTGACCTGAGATGACATGCGTTGTGAATTAGCGCTATTTAAACTGAACTGAATTAAATTAAGTCATGGAAATGAGTCTGAAACTAACAAATGTAAGTGTCAGTATCAGCATTAAAGCCTCTAAGGTTATGTTGTATCAGAAAATGTGTTTCTTTCACTCTCGGAGTGTTTTGCATTAATTTCTTATAGAAGCACTTTTGTTATTTTTCTTAATATATTCGAGCAAGTTAACCTTTCTTGTTATTACATTGACACAAATTTTTGCCATCAAAATATTCCATATTTTTCAAATGTTCCAAAGGTAATAATGTCTTGTACTGAGTGCCCTATAAAGGGTTAAAGCCTTTTTTTATTTATTTATTTTTTATAAAAAAAAAAACAAAATAAACAAATTCAACAATACGTCAATATTGAACATTACAAGAAACAAATAAGATCAAAACTCCTATTAACTCAAATAAAAAATTACAGGCTAGAACAAGGAAGAAAAAAAAAAGACAGACGAAATAGAAATTTTGCGTAATGACGCCAAAATGGACAATGACGTAGTTACGCCTCTACCCAGCTTCTAGTGCTAGTGCTAATGCTAATGGTTGGTGCTTAGCGGCTTTTTGGTTCCCGGGCAGATAAAATCTAACTCCTCGGTCCGTTTCCAGCCTCCAGACTTCCTGACTGTCCGCGTCGGGTCGCCGCCATGGCGCTGCAGGGCCCGGAGGAGGTAGGCGAACAGGTTGAAGAACCGGAGGACCTGGATGACCAGGACGCCAGCAGCATCTCGCCAGCAGAGGAGATAACCCTTCCACCCGGGCCCGGGGGCGAAGAGGAGGCGGAGGAGGCCTTCCTCCTGCCCTGGGACCGCTTCTCCTCCTGGCTGCACTGCATCTGTGTGGTGGGCTTCGACCTGGAGCTGGGCCAGGCGGTGGAGGTAGGAGACCTGAGTTAGCAGCTGCTGCAGGCTCTGGCTATGTCCTGGTATGCAGGATAGGAAAAATACAATTCAAAAGTTGCCCTCACATCAGCAAAATGGTGCGAAAATGCTAAACCAGCTAAACGCCAGCTTTTAATTTGTGAAAAGTTTTTAATGTTAAGCAGAGTTGAAATGCTAACTTCTCTAAAGTTAGCCTGGTCCAGAGCAGCCTATCCGGCCCACACAGAAGCTTTGAGTTCTGAAACTCACTGCAGTTTGATAAACACAGAATTAAACTAGATGAAGGCTCTCCTCCTCCTGGCTTTATCTCCAGAGCTTTCAGAGCAGTTTGTAGCGCAGACATTAGTTAATAAAGTTTCTGTTTACATGATTGTTTTTATAACAATGTGATCAGCTGCTGGTTTCATGTTGTTTGTTTTTCTTCCAGGTTATTTATCCTCATCATTCCAAACTGTCAGAGAAAGAGGTCAGTCTAACCTTATTGTGTTTTATAAGCAGGTGACTGTTTCTCTCTACTTCTACGTCTCTTCTTTCAACAATAACGTATCAGAGCTGTGTTTACGTTCGCGTAGCCCTCAACATGGCCGCCACGTCCCACAATGCAACGCGGATCCCAAGCCCTATTGGGGGGTGGATTAGTATGAAGTGGAGAGAAAAATAAAGACGATAAATTCAGTTCAGTTTATTTCTATACAACACCTGTCATCTCAGCACTTTACAGTTCACTAGATCATCCAGTCAGATTGATTGTTTCCTATCAAAGGGAAACCAGCTGATTGCATCAACTCATGGAATCTTCAGCAATCCCTCACACTAAGCATGCTTGTAGCGACAGTGGAAAGGAAAAACTCCCTTTTAACAGAAAGAAACCTCCAGCAGAACCAGGCTCAGTGTGAGCGGCCATCTGCTGAGGCCCACTGGGGTTCAAGGAAGCAGAAGCAGACATACAGAGCTAACTGCCTTGAAAGGTCACCTAAATGGGGAACAGCAGCACACCAAGAACAGCGTCTGTGTGGCAGTCAGGGGCAGATTTAGGAAATTTGGGGCCTTAGGCAAAGACAGGCAGAGGGCCCTCTGCATTGCAAAGACAACACATAAAACAGCCCCATTCTCCAGATAGAGAAGTGTTAATATAATAGACATCATCATCTGTTCTAGGTTGTGTCCCTCTCTTCTTGTCCCTTTTCTTCTTGTTTTCCTCTCTATGTTTTGTACTCAGCTGACTTTTCATGCTGTCTCTAAAGGAATGAAAGATTTTTTCCAAGCACTAAGCTCACTTAGCTGATTGCTCCTTCCTGTGTTTCCAAAAAGGCCAAAGTAAATAACCCAGTCCTTCTTTTCACTGTAGACAAGCCATGATCTGCTTATCTGTTCTCCATTTTTCCATATGTTGTCTCCAAAGTCTCCAGTAGTAAAAAAAAGTTGCTAGATCTGGCGCTAGGCGCTTTTTTGAAATCAAAGTGCTAGAGGGGTCTGAAAAGTCGGTAAATATAGCGACTAAAGCGCTAAGTTTGAATGTCTGAACTGTAGATATAGTCATATGTTTATATTACTATTTGTTTTATGGATTTATTACTGTTTTTCAAGGCTGCACTTTAAAAATGAAAATGTCTAGAGCTGTTTGAAACGAAATTTCTTTTCGTTTACACAATGGCAGAATAAATGGAAGTCTAAGCAATCAGAAGTGGAGCTGAGAATCTGTGACCTTCAAAGGGTCTGTTTCTGTCCAAGCTTGCAGAAACTTCTGGTTCTATGCCGTTTTGACTCAGTTGGACTGAATGGTGATTAAAATAAAACCAAAGCAGACAAATGGCAGTAAAAAGCACCGCGGAGTGTTCCTGGTGAGTTCTGTAATCAGAACCTTCAACACGTAACACCGGACCGTCTCCTATGAGTCTCACACAATCCAGGCTTTGTTGTTGGTTTGAAATATTTATTATTTTTGAGTGACTTCAGCTGCCAATGAAAGGAAGGAGGAAATATTGTTTGTTATGATGCTGATTTTTTCAGCTGTGGGTAAAGAAGCTAAACATGTTTTTTTTTTTTTTTTTCCTTTCAGAAAACAAGCATCTGCTACCTTTCCTTTCCGGACTCCAACTCAGGTGAGTTACGGCGTCGGCAGCTCTGGTCTCTGACATTATATGGATTCTTTTTACTTGTAGAGATCAAGTTTAGCTCCCTAGGTCCCTGTCACACCTTGACGATTTAGCCAACATATGCCCGACGTCCCGGAATCTTCCAAAGTGCTGGCATACGCTGAACTTTATGTATTTCTTCAATTTTGGAGGCATGCATAGAGTATTAATGAGTCTAGAACTTATGTCCAACGACAGCCTGACTTATGCATAAAGCACGGCATGCCCATGAAATCATTCACAAGCATCACTTTATGGGCATTACGAAGCATCAGTTGGAGCAGCGATGCGCCCAGAGGCGCCCTGTCTGCATAAAAAGATGCCTTTGATCGCGGTATTAATATAGCTGTTGTTTACTTTGGAACTTTATTGGTTATGGGCGTGAACGCAGGGAGGATCCATCACTCCCCTTCTGGCTCACCCTATGATGGGGATGAAGTCTGGAGGAGAACTGACGGTTTCCTCCTGTGAACCCCCTTTATACCAAAACGCTGCCAATACGCCATTATACAGTAGCTGGAAGGTAGAAACACGTTCAGCGCTCGCCTGGAACACGTCAGATACCTTGATATGCGTTGGAGAGAAGTTCTGGATAAGTTACGCAGAAGTTTAGGATCAGCTAGACGCCACAACTGATGAGGAACTGACACTGAACGGATGTCGACCATCAGATAACTTATCTGTAATTATGACCCACGTATGAGCGTATGCTGGGGTATGTCAGCACATTTTGAGCATGCTCAAAATCTCTGCCAGCGTCTTTCAGCGTGCTCATAACTTATACAAAACGTACCCATAACTTATTCCACGTATTCCGTCGTTTTTTGTTGTTTTTTTTGCCAGATTTTTCCTACGTCAGGCATCCGTTGGTCTAAATTGTCAGGGTGTGACAGGAGCTTTAAAAGCAGATTAGACCTCTGCAACCGCACACATGAAATGTCGCTTGGGTCTGGTTTCGAACCAGTTTTGCTGGTATGCTTCTGACCCGTCGGTCTGGAATTTCTAGGGCAGCAGTTTCCCGGCAGAGAGCTAGGGGGAGCCTATTCGAGAACTCGTGAGAACTTTGACTTTCGTAATTCTGAACCTCCTCGATTAACATTTCGTCGTAGTTGTCCAGGGTTTCTGCGGGTCATTAAAAATCATTAAATTATATATGTTTTTTAAATAAAGGCCTTAATTTGGCATTACAATTCATTAAATTTGATAATCGTGGCATTAAAATGCTTCGGAAAAGAAGCTTGAAGCGGAGAAAAGGTTAGAGCAGGGGTCTTCAACGTTTTCAAGGCCAAGGAGGACCCCCAAACTGATTGCAAGATGGAGCAAGGACCCCCAAATTATATATATTGTATGAAATTGTGTTATATCAAACTGGTCCTATAGTCACTCTATTACAGATGGAGTAATGTAAGGAAAGTAATCCCTCCCTGGGATTATTAAAGTATTTCTGATTCTGATTCCTGGTTGATGGGACAGTTGTTGTGAACGAAACGGTGCCCAGGTTTGAAAGAGCTCCTGTGTGTCACTGAATGTGAGCATTGATGACTGAAAGACATCTTCTGCCTCCATTTGTCTGTTTACTACAGTGCGTTGAATTCATGTTAATGTGGATTTAAAGACATTTTAATTAGTGCAAAACATTACAGGAGGGAATATAAAAAAAAGCAATCAACCAAGACTTTTGCGACCCCCATGCAGTACCTCCGCGGACCCCCTAGGGGTCCCGGAACCCCTGCTGAAGACCTCTGGGTTAGAGAATGGGGGAAAATGCTAATTTGAATCAAAGCGGCGGGAAAACGAGGAACTCGGGACATGGCTGCAGCCTGTCCACGGTGAAGACGGTGAAGGATTTTGCCGTGTATATATATACACACACACAAGTCATCGGTATTTGTTGATTGCATTACGATTATTTCTAAGAGCATTAAAGGTACACTATGCAACCGGTGTTGATTTTCCAGCGAGGCTCCCCCCAGAGGGCGAAAGTAAAAGTGCACTGTCGTAAATATGCTCAGCTGTTCTCCTGGTTTCTCCGTCAAGCCAGGCGCGGTCGTTTTGAGCTTAGCAGACAGGCGAACGCAACGAATGACTAATGCTGCGTTCACACTGGACGTAGCTGGCGCGACAGAAGCAGCGAGTTTACATGCAAAGTCAATGGTTGACGCGCGTCAAGGCGCAGCAAAAGGTCCCGCAGCGCGTTTTGAGCACCAGGCGCAGCACGTCTGAGCAGCTGAAGCAGCGCGTCGGGCGCGTTTGATCATCTGACGCAGGGAGAGAGACACAGCGCTGATGATCACTCCTCTTAAACAGTTTATTGACGCCTAAATTAACTTAAAATGCAGAAATCTGCCGGCAGAATATGTTGGCTTTTATTATCCTGCTGCCTGCAGTTTGGATTATTTAGATGAAAAACACCTACCAGCTGCCGCGGTGAACCGCGAGGAGGCGACTCAGCCAGAGGCTGCTGATGAAGGGATCCCTACTGTCGGCGCACCGCTGGTATGTGGGGGTCTGAGCGGCTCCGACAGAAATAATATTAGAAGGCAGGACTGCACTGATGAAGTTTTCAGGTGTATTTTCTCACTTAAAAACATATTAAAACTACTTTATTCCCACTGATCACAGCAAATATAGCTGCAAGGCAGAGAAAGGATAGTGAAGCTCCGCCCAACGCGCGTCAGACACACTTTTGCACCACAGCCAGAGCAGCAAAGCTGCTTCAGCCGCGCGTCAGAACTAACTGGTACAAGCAGCAAAAATGAAGCAGCAGATGCGATTTTGCTGCGTCCGATGTGAACGTAGCATAACTGCACAAAGATCGCCACTGTGCTAGCAACGAGCATGCTTTTAACTGGGGCGTGTAGCAGTTCTCGCTGTAAAGCAAGACCGACTCTCGTGAGACTTCTGGGCCTGTGGGTGCGGGTCGGTGCTCCTGCAATTGCAAGTGCGGTATTTCCCCCACAGACCACCAGGGCGGCCGAGAAAACCTTTGTTCAACCTGAAATGACTCATTTAATCATCCAAAACATTATGGAACACATTAATTAACTGAAAAATGTTGCATAGTGTCCCTTTAAAAGAGCATTAAAAGAGTTACTAATACATGTATAAACCCTGTTGTCTGTTGTTCCTGGGTTTTTAAAAATGGCCGCCCCGGCACCTAATCGAGAATGACGACCACACAGACAGCCTGAAATACAAGGACCAATCACAGCTGCTTTTTATCTCTCTTTATCTTTTTATCACTTTCGACGCGTAGTTGGTTATTTTTTGCGGTGCGCAACAACTGTTGTGCGGCCGCGCACAGAGACAGATTTAACGGTTGCAGAGGCTATGCGTCAGAAGCATAAATTGGCCTTTATTCATCTCAAAGGAACTTCTTAGGCCTTCGCTTCATTGATGGTTGATTCCACTGTGATCACATCGGTTCAAACCTTGTTGAATCACTTCAGGAATGTGATTCAGCTCCTCACCATGGATGCTCTTGAAAGCAACCTGGCAGAATGATGTCATGGTGTCCCGGCTTTTCTCCTGTTTATATCTGCTGTGGGGTCCAGCCCAGTTCGTGTTCACTCCCACTATCAGAGCTTCAAATTATCTTCTCCTCCATCCTCCCATGGGGGTTACTGTGAGGTTGGAAGGCATTTGATGACGGTTTTCCCCATTTCCTCTTCCTGTTTTTGGGAAGAACCTGGAGGAGAAGCCAAGAATCAGATCAGAACAGAGTCAGATTATATCGACGTAGCAGACGGAACCGCATCAAGTAAATGTTTAAGAAAAAGACACTTTTTAAAAGATTTTGAGCTATAATCATGCAGCCCTACCGAGAAGTGCTTAAGAAAAAAATCCAGACTTTCCTAAAGATTTAATTTTCATAAGTTTCAGTGTCTTAATTTCATCGGTTCAGTTTCATTGGTTTTATGGTCCCAGTGGTCAGAGCTGTAGTGACGGCGGTTTAATCTTGGACAGTAAGACGGCGGTGATGTGTGTGGAGGGAGTAACGTGTCTCCGCTTTATGTGTCCAATTAGCTGTATGTCCAACTGTCCTTGATTAGGCTGCGGTCGTTTCTCAATGCACAAGGGCGCGAGTGCGGACTCGTGTCCCCAAGTATGTTCTTCAGAAGAACTCAGGAAAATCTGGACTCGGGAAGAATGGGAGCACACTGATGACATCACCGCATGCTCAGCTCGTCTGTAGCTGCTTTTCGCCTCCTGTTATTAATAGTCTCTAATAATAAATTATTACTTTTTTCATTTAGTGGGTTAATAATGATTAACACAGTCTGATAAACACAAATAAAATGCGTTTAGCCTCGGAGGTCCGCTCGTTGCCGCGGTCCTCGCAACATCTGAACTTTTTTTTTAATTAAGCATAAATGACTAAATGGGCCATATAATGATGCTTAAAAGTATAATGTTCTTGCCTCAAATGATCTTAAAATGTACCTTTATAGAACATCAGCAGCAGAAAAGAGAACTTTTTACTTTAAACTTTTAACACTCTGAGCTCTGTGAGCGCTAACCTGGAAGCTGCTGCTGCTGCAATGCATGATGGGACAGCTGTCAGTCTGGATAACAGACAAGTCTGCTCTGATGCATGCTGGGTAAAGAGGGAGAGGCGAGAACAACATCGGGGGACTTTGTCCGTTCTTGGTCTTCTTGTGAATTGGAGCAGGTCTAGGGCTGATGGCGTGCACAGATTGAGAAACGGCCTCTGTGAAATCCCCCCCTTTGTGTTGTTTTTACAGGTTGCCTTGGCGACACACAGTTCTGCTTCCGCTTCCGCCAGGGCTCCAACAGGAAGTCGTCACTGGGCTGTTTCCTGGAGAACACAGACCGAGATGCGCCGCCCTGCCTGAAGGTGCCGGCTGCGCGATCAGCTCTCAGTCATCCACCAGCCTCATCGCTCTCCTGTTCCTAACGCCTGTTTCTATGCTGTGCTGTCTGTTTCAGCGGGAACAAGGCCACTACTACGGTTACGTGTACTTTCGTCAGGTCCGAGACAAATCCTTGAAGAGAGGATACTTCCAGAAGGTTGGTTATGGTCTGCAGCCGAGTTCAGTTTTCGGTCCGACTCCATCCGTCTGTGATAACGATTCACTGCAGTCTAGTGTTTTAAATAACTTTCAGACAACATTAGCTACTCTGGCTTTGGCCTCCTGGGTTAGGGTCATTTAATTAAAGCTGGATGGTTTGCAGATTGAACAGTGTGTAAAACGGTAAAACTCCCCCTCTTTAAAGTCTTGGAATAATTTCCAGGTGAGCAGGAAGTTTTGTTTTTTGTTAGCCTTGGCTTTGAGGTTAGCCTGGAAGCATTAAAGGAATAGTACACCCAAAACATGATTAGCCTTCATTTTCTACTCACCCCCATGCTGTCAGCTCCCAGATCTGCTTCTCTGATTGGTTGATGTGACGCATCCAGCAGCAAAAGTTCATTTTTTTCCAACTCCAGCATCTGCTGCTTCTGAAGCGCGTCAGATTCTCAGAAGCTCATGAGACGCTGCTTCAGCTGCTCACAACACGCTGCAGGTCTTTCTGCTGCGCCTTGATGCGTGTCAACCATTGACTTTTCATGTAAACTTGCTGCTTCTGCAGCGTGCGATCTGAACGTAGCATTAGCCCTCAGTCATCTCCTAACATCACAGGGACTTAGAATAGGAATCATTTTAAAAATGTTTATAAAGCTCTGCTTTTATAGATCGTTGCTTCAGATATTCCACAATTCCTGCCACCTTTTAGATCCAATTGATTCCCAATTAGATGTTCCTTTGTTCTCAATGACTGTGAGGATTCCTAACACCAGCTTTTTCTCTCTTTGTTTTTGCATTTCTTCAGTCTCTGGTCCTAATCAGTAAGTTGCCGTATGTGACCTTCTTCCACTCGCTGCTGAAGATCATGGCTCCAGAATACTTTGAGAAACAGGAGCCCTGCTTGGAGGCCGGTCAGTCTGAATATTTCCTTGTAATTATCTGTTTTCAGCCTTTTATTGGGGTTTTATGTGACAGACCGGCACTAAGTAGAGCAGTTTGATGCCTTTAGGGATAAATGATGACCTTTCCTTTGTCTTCAGTTCAGGCTGCAAGTCTTTTTAGGTTGATCTCACATAGAGTCTCTGACTGTTCTTTCTTTGGATGAAATGACAACAAATGAAACCAGAGTCCCCTGGATAACGACTTGCCTGATGCCATAGTTCTGACATCAGCCAATAAAAACATCATTGCTAATTACAGAGTTGCATTATATATATATATATATGTGCCCAAAATTAAAATACATAGAAAGTTCAGCTAGCATCTTAGAAAATTCAGGGACGGCGGGCATACGCTGGCTAAATCTGCAAGGCCCCCTAGAGGCGCCATGTTTGACTGGGTGGGATCTATCTGGATCCCTTCTGGTTCGGGGGGGCCTGCAGCTGGTCCATCTGAGGGAGATGTTCTGCTGTGTCTCTGAACCTCCATGATGCTGGATGTTATCTAACAGACCTTCAACCCTAACCCACCCAGGAAGCCTGCACCACCAGAGGAAACCGCCTTCTTCCACATAAAGGGCTGGAATACAAACACCTCTAACACTTTAAAGAGAATTTTCCCTCCATTTCAGTCATCTTCCACTTCCTGTTGGTCTGTCTAGTAAAATCCAACAAACAGGGTTGTGTAGGAAACCAAACCTCAGTTTTCTGGTAGCTTCCTCTGCTGGTTTCTGAAATGTTCCTGTTTTTATCCATAACCGTCCCATCCTGATGGCCTGTTATCGTTTGTTAATCTGAATGAGTTCATGGACGGAATCAGTGGAAGTAAGCAGAACTAACCGGGAGCTGTTGGAGGGTCCTGGTTTTATCTCTTTTTGCTCTTCTCTTTCGACAGCTTGTAACGACATGGACCGCTGGCCGCCGCCTCATCCTGGACGAGTCCTGACTCTACCGATAATGGGCGTCGTCATTAAGGTAGTCCCTCAGCAGAGACAGCAAACCGATTCGGACCAGACTTGAATGATGAGGAGTAGTTGTAGAGATGGGATGAGGAAAAAGGCTGTCATTGTTATTATTCACGGCTCTCTGAGAGTAGCTGATTTTCCTTTGATCATTTATTCAGTCATGTTTGTCATTTTATTTAAGGCAAATTATCCACTTGGCCGCAGAGAAAACAAGCATGGAGCTTCATCTGATGCTGCATCTTTTAACCGTCGTTTATTGGATCTTAGTTTTTATTTTTATCTTATCAGGTTCGTATCCCAACCTGCTACGATAAACCAGGAACCTCCCAGTTGGTCCAGTCTACCCAGGTAAACGGCCCCACCGGTCAGTCCTGTTTCATCCTTTCAATCATGTCGTTTCACACATTACGCTGAACTATTTCATGCTTTCAGAGCGACAGTCTAGTTTCCATCGTGCTGCCAACCATCCATGAAGTGGACCTGTTCAGGTGAGTCTGTGGCTCCATCTGCTGCCCAGTGGGGGTACTGCAGCTGACTGTGGAAGGGAAGGAAGTCCTCCAGCCGGGTCGCTGACCTGTTGGATCCTTCAGTAAAAGTACAGATAACCAGATTATTTAGCATCACATGGCTGATCTGATCAAATGAACAGAAAATGGTGCTAAAGCTGCAGAGGAGGAAGCCGTGATGGATGGTACCCATGGTGATTGTTACAGCCAGCTAAAGCGGGGCATACACTGTATATTTTGTTGCTAGTTTGGGCTGATTTTCAAGTCATGCGAGAATTTTTCGATCGCGTTTCTCAACGAAACTGCAGGGTGTCGTCATACAGTGTGAGCTGTAGCTGTGTGCAACAATTGAAAAAATCGTACACTCTATGCCCTGCTTAAAGGAGTAAGGAAGTCAATGAGGAATCCTCCGGTTTCCTCCTACGGCAGCAAACGGGGCATCTGTGTTTGGATGGAGGATCCACAGTAAGTGTCTGATCCTGGTTTCCTCTTCCAGGTGCTTCCACCCGGTCTTCTTCCACATCCAGATGCTTTGGGAGTTGGTGTTGTTAGGGGAGGCCCTTGTTGTCATGGCGCCGTCGCCAGCTGAGTCGGCGGACACCGTGCTGGCGTTAGTCAGGTGAGGTCATTGTGAAGCATTTGATGCACATGTGGAACATTATCGTGACATGACCGATCAGCTACTCTGAAGGAAAACATCAGGAGCACACATCTGGATGAAATGAATCATCAGCGACACGGATGTGATGAAGGGTTCACCCTGCCCGATGTCACAGTCATTAACTCTAGGACTCCCAGAACTCTGATCTTACTAGACCTCCCACTGGCCGTCAATTTGACGGGTGACATTTTTCCCAATGGAACACATGAATAGTGATGATGTCATCAACTGAAATGGTTCTAGTGTGCGATTTAAACCCATTGTGGAAATGTAAACCTTTAAAACAGGTCTAATATATATCTTTTAAAGGCTGTATTGTACACTATTATTATTTGTGGTCTAAATTTGTATTAAAAATAAATCAGTATACACTGTTTTACCACACAGGTTCAAATTTTCAATTTTATTTACAGAAATTGATCGATCCCCCCCGAACATTTCCCCCACATCACCTTTTCACATTTATGACAAACATCATATTAGCGTTTTCTTGTGCAGCACTGAAGCACCTGCCTCTGCCTTCTTCTCACCAAAGCTGGCTCCACTGCATGGGAGGGGCCGTAACCTGCGGTTTGCATGCAACTGTTCTATCAGTTCAAGGATAAAATCTTTGCTTGAGACGGTAACTGTCAGGTCTAAGCACCTAAAACATCATACATACATACAGGGAAAGAAAGAAGGCACAGAGACAATTAATTTAGTTTTACTCGCGAGGAGAGTAGGAAGAGACTGTGGAGTTTACAAATCTCCAACCCACTCTGCTGGTCTTCAGCTTTCTCCTCGCTATTTATTAAAGTCAGAAGGGGGTCCCTAGTTACACAAGCTGAGGTTGTGCTAAAGGAATAGGAAACAAGAAATACAATTCAATTTCCAGCCTCAGTGAACAGGTCAATTTGCATTTAAATGTCTTGCGGTCAAATGGTCCGAGAACCTCCTGGTTTCGTTAAGCTTGAGCAATACTTCCTGAGAGTTGACCTATACTGCTTGTGCATCACCTCTCTGGAACAGTAATATGTCACACATTATACATAATAAGAACAAACATTAAGTATCTTATACATAATTAGTCCAACAGTAACGTTCAAACAGCTCCTGAACAAAACCAACACGTTTACAGCTGCTATGTCCAGGAGATGGTAGAATACAGCCACAGGCCACCTTGGAGCTTTTACAGAATACTTTCTAATCATCTGATCCTACACATCCATGCCAACCTGTGTGTGATTGTAGTAGACCAGCGGCTCTGGTTTGGCTTTTTGGACTCTGAGTGAACCGGCTGAGGTATGGGCAGTGCTATCCAAGCCTTGAACAAAGGTTTTACTACTATCTGATGGGTCACTGATGTTTCCCGTGGGTGGGTGCTCATCCTCGGATTCACTGTCACAATCTGAGCAGCTTCCTACCCAGTCCTCTTCATCAGTCTCTGCATCTCCACCCCAATTGCTATTATCAATATTTTGAGGCATTTCTAAAGCCTGTTTTGCGGTTAGATTTCATCTGCAAGTCATTTTTCTGTATTAGTCAAAGAGTACTAGGGAGAATGTTGTTTGCAAAGCAACGGTACCGACGTTAATCAACTGCAGGAAGAATTTACAAAGCAACTAATAGAGCCATCAAAATGATGGCTGTGGGAGGTTGTGGTAAAATTAACCATCTGTATTTTATAAAATACAGATGGTTAAAAAAATCACATGACAATGAAGCAAATATAGAACCAGGAGAAGTTGGTTAACATGAACAAAATGCGATTAATTTAAATAAAGTTCTTTCCCTTTAAAATCTCAGAACCGTCAAAATGACGGCCTTGGGAGTTCTAGTGTTAAAGCTTATTACTGATCTGCGTGCGCTAGCTAGCTAGCTGCTAAATGGATAGTTCATGGATGGAAACATCTTCCAATCCATTTTTTTTCAGCATATTCAAAGTTCTCCTTAGAACTAGACAGAACCATATCCAGAGGCGGTTCCACATTCACCTCCAGTCGCTTTAGTAAAGCCAGATTTTCCAGCATGTCTTTGGTTTGGAGGTGAACTAACAGAAGAACCTGTGCTCCTTCTCTCTGCAGCTGCATATCTCCTCTGCGCTACTGCAGCGACTTCAGGCCGTACTTCACCATCCATGACAGCGAGTTCAAGGAGTACACCACCAGGACGCAGGCTCCGTGAGTACAGCCGCACTGCCTTCTGCTCTGACCAAAGCCATCGCAGTACTGCCGCATCATGATGGGGGGGCAGAACTAATGTGCCGCTGTCTAATTAGAAATCCAGGGCATCCCCAAGGGCATGAAGGTCAAAAATGAAATCAGTCCGTCTTTATTCATAGAAAGAAAAACGACCTACTTTGGGCCAACAAACAATTAACGTGCAAAAGACGAATCAATACGCAGCTAATTGGTTTATTTGAAGAAGCTGGAATCAAAAGCCACACAGCTCAGTGTTGCAGCTGAAGCCTCCATTACTAAAAGCTTATTTACTAAAAGTAAATAAGCTCAAAATGTGCTGCAGTTCATCTGTGTCGAAGGAACCATCCCTGATCCTACAAGGACAGATTTTAAGCCCCGCCCCCAACAATTTTTTCCCCGCATCAGAAACCCTCTTCCTCCCTGACTTGCACCAGGGTGGAGTACGACGTAATACGTTTAAATCTCCTGTAAATGCATTGGCAGCCATCATGCTCCTTGTGGTGTTATTGGCAGAGAAAAACCAGCTGATCTCCCCCTTCCTGCTGATTAATACTACTACAAAATTTGGACTTGCTTGTTGGTAGCTTTAATTGGTAGCAAAACACTTAAGCTGCATTTTCTACTGATGGTGGTCAGAGGGCCCGGTGGCGCCAGTGTACGGCAGCCTCGCTTCTGTCAGTGAGCCCCAGGGCAGCTGTGGCTACAATGTAGCTTGCCACCATCAGTGTGTGTGAGTGTGTGAATAGGTGAATGATTGAATGTAGTGTAAAGAGCTCTGGTATCAAAAGCGCGATTAACGTCACAACTGTAGGACCAGCATTGCAGCGCATTCTGCAGCACACAGCTTGTTTTTAGCAATGGAGAAATACGTGGCTGACCTCTTTGGTTTTGGTTTTCAACACTTCATCACAGTGCCATTAAAAAAAGGACATGCATAGTGTCTTTCATCGCCTCTACTTCCCTTAAACAAAAAGTTGCCCAGAATATTTGAATTTTTTGACGTATTGCTGCATTGAAAGAAAGGTCCGTCTGCATTAGATAATATATCAGATAATTCAGTAACACAACACTGAGGCCATGTAATCTCATTACTAAACCTCCAATAAGAAGTAGAAATGTTTGAATTAAAGCACCTTGTTTTGTCATCATCGAATGAATCAACCTGAAGGCCGTCAGTGATTCTGGGAGTGACCAATCCCTTCTTTGCAAAGACTCTGCAACACTGGCCGCACATCATCCGCATCGGAGACATGAAGCAAGCGGGTAAGCATCTGTGGCGCTGATCTGATCTCCAGCCTCTGTCACACCGAGATGATTTAGACCTGCGTATGCCTGACGTACGGAAAATCTGGCGGAAAAGCTGGCATCCGTTGGATAAGTTATGGGTACGTTTTGTAGTTATGCTGAAACACGCTGGCGCACGTCAAGTTCGACGAGAAATTTTGAGTATGCTCAAAATTTGTCGACATATATGCCCGCCTGTGCCATGAGTAACTTCTCCAGACTTCATCATAGCCAGAAGGTGAGTGTGATTGATCCTTCCTGCGTTCATGCCCATAACCAACAAACTTCCTAGCAAACATGAAGCTGAATCTGCTGCGACTGCAAACCTTTAACTTCTTTTTGTTTTTCTTTTTATAAAATGTTTTTTTTTTTTTGGGTGCTGGCGGTAAACAGCAGCTAGGTTAATACCGCGATCAAAGACATCTTTTTATGCAGACCAGGCGCCTCGGGGCACATTGCTTCCCCCCTCAGCATTACGCCGCCGTGCGTTATGCATAAGTTAGGCTGTCGTTGGACATAAGTTCTGGACTCCTTAGGAATACGATATGTATTCGCCCAACGTTGAAAAAATACATAGAAACTTAGTAGGGATGCAGGATATTGGGATTTTGGCCGATATCCGATATGCCGATATTTTAAAACTCATGTAGCCGATAACCGATACTGATGTTAAAGCTGGACAAAAATAAGTAGTCATTGAAAATAGCAGTTTTGTTATCCACTTATGACACTTATAATTAATATATTTTCATATGATATCAAATAGATTTTTAAAAACGCGGTATCGATCTATTTTACTTTCAAAATCTCGTGAAATTTCATCGTTCTGTTACAAACTCTCGTGATATTTTGCAAATTCTTGTGAGATTTTGTTAGTAAAATAGATCGATACCGCGTCAATATATCAACATGTAAAAATATGGCAATATTTCGTGAATTTTCGGGGGATTTCGTAGCATAACGATGACATATAGCAATATTTCATTAGTAAAAGAGATTGATATGGTGTTTTTAAATGGCAATATATCAGCATAGGAAGATATTGGGATATTTTAATGGATCAATATTTTTCCCTCGTCTTTAGAAGTTTTTAAGTCTGTAAAAAATAAGTTTTTGAGGAAGAAGAAGAAGTAGTATTTTTTTTTTTTTTAGACTTTAGAAACTCAGAAGCTGATCAAATATCGGGTTAAATATCGGTGGGGTGGCCGATGTCCGATATTCGGTTTTAAGGCCGATACCGATAGGGGGCCGATTATATCGTGCATCCCTAAAAGTTAGCATATGCCAGCGTTTTAGGCACACGGTGGCTAAATCATCAAGGTGTGACACTAGAAAGATGTTTGGGTCGTGTTTCCATTCTTTGGTGTTATGGTTGGTTTGCTCATCCATCCGTCCTTCCCTCTGTTCCCTCCCAGGAGAGCTGGCCAAGCACATGAAAGTCAAGAAACTAAAAAACCTCAAAACTCTGGACTCCAAACCGGGTAAACATCCTGTACTCCCTTATGTTCGGTGCTTGTAGGAGCTTCCAGGTGGCTTCCTTCTCTGCCTCTAAGCTGCTCTGCATGTAATTTCCTCACAGGTGTGTACACTGCATACAAGCCATATCTCAACAAGGATGAAGAGATCATCAAACAGCTCCAGAAGGTAGCAAACCGTCTAAAGCCCTGTGGGACGAAGGGGTCTGAAATCAAATCTGCATTTTATTTATTGCTTGTTTGAACGGATCCACTGTCTGTTCTGGTTCTTCTACAGAAGATTTTTCTTCCTTTCAGATCAGCTAGGTTCGCACCGGTGCCTTTTAAGCCGGGCGTACACTGTGCGATATTTTTAATCGTTGCGTGCATGTACAGCTGAAACTGATGAAACCGCAGGGTTTAGATGTTCACAGCTCCGATGCATGTTCTCACACTGTGCGGCCCAACGCTGTGATGCGATCTACCTGCTCACACTGCACATCCACAAACCACACATCAGACTCGGTGTCGAGAGATGGCGCTGATCCCACTCTTCAATCTAGAAGAAGAAGGAGAACTTCCTTGTTAACACATGTGCAGTGCTCAGGGTGATGTCACTACACCGTGACGTCACTGCCAGAAGATGTCAGGAGAGAGGTGGTACTATACTTGGGCAAAAATGGCCGACGCAAATGTTTATTTTTATTTTTTTTACTGATTAATGCTAAATTTATTAAATCACCGTTAACGTATTAGTTTTAGGTATTAATAATGATCCATTGATTATTCCTTGCTGACTTTTAACTTAAGTTACTAAAGTTTAACTTGAGCGTTTGGATCTGATCTGAAGGAGTTCTATGTTTAACGTCCACCCAGCGGTGGGTTCAACGCCCTCAGACGCCTTCCTCTGCAGAGAGAGGAAGGACGGCCCACTTTACCGTCACACGGGGTTCACACATCACGTGGGAAGAGCTGCTGCTGAGAAAAAACAAACACCTTTTAATTAGTAGATATTTCAATTTACCTAACTTTTCCTCAAAAAATTGTAAAAGTTTGAGATCAAATTATTTAACGTTTTAATCGCAATTTTGGCATCTGACACAGCCGGTTCAACCAGCTCTGAATCATGGGAAACGGTGACCATGAAAGAAACCCCTGATGGATCCTTCAGATCAGCCACAATGACGGACACATTGGTCAGCAGCGTTTAAAGGATCCTTTGGAGAAACACTGTGACGTAGTCGGTCTACCAATGCGGCCCTCAGATATGACTTGCAGCTACTATCCTGTTTTTTACAGAACGTTGAAATAAACATCACTGTTAGAGGGTTTTAACTTCCCTGTCCAGCAGAGAGCTTTGAAGCCCCGCCCCCCTCATGGTTAAAGCTACAATGATGCTGCATCTGTTTCAGTTCCATTCCCAGAACAGATGATTGGAACAGATGATAGACATGGCCGCCTCAGTATGGCTCAGAGATGCTGCTGATTAAAGTTCTCTTTACTTGATCTTATATTCAATTATTTAAGGATATTATTAGGAAGTAAAAATGGATCAGAATCAGAAATACTTTAATGTTCCTATATATATATATTTTTTTTCTGTTAAGTAGAGATGAGATTATTACCTTTCTTATAATCTGGCAGTGATTCTGTTAGCATTGCAGGCTGAAACATTCCAGATTCATGTGCCCTGGTTGCTCCTCAGTTCCTTGGCTTTGTCTTCTTTCAGGGAGTTCAGCAGAAGCGACCGTCAGCGGCCCAGAATGCAATTCTCCGACGCTACTTCTTAGAGCTGACTCAGAGCTTCATCATCCCTCTGGTAAACATCAGCCGTCTCAGACAAAGTTGTAGTTTAAACGCCGCTTTAGGTTTGGACCTTTTCATACAGTCTCTGTTGGGTTTCTGCAGGAGCGGTATGTTGCCAGCCTCATGCCTCTCCAGAAGTCCATCAGTCCTTGGAAGAGTCCTCCTCAGCTCCGGCCTTTTGTCCAGCAGGACTTCATGAAGACCCTGGAGAAAGCAGGACCCCAGCTCACGTCCAGACTCAAAGGAGACTGGATCGGACTCTACAGGTGGGAAGCGTCATGTGTTGAGTTGTTTTGCTGTAGAGACATACACAAACCACCTGGTATCAGATTCTGTGATGTTGTTATTTCAGGCATTTCCTAAAATCCCCAAACTTTGATGGCTGGTTCCGCAGCAGGAAAAGAGAGATGACTCAGAAACTGGAGGCTCTGCACCTGGAGGCTCTATGTGAAGAGGTAAGCTGGGAAAAATGAACAATCATCATGTTGCCAATCTTAGAAATCTTCTTTTAAAGCTAAATCTGACTGGATCTCAACAACGCCATCTTTGTTGCTTTCTGTCTGCAGGACCTTCAGCAGAGGATCCAGAAGCACACAGAGGTGGAGGCGGTCGATCTGGTTCTGAAGCTGAAAGACAAACTGGTAATTAGACACTGGTGTCCCACAGAAATGGGATGGCTGGCTTCTTTAAACTTATTTAAAGCAGAAATTATCCTTAAAAATACAGCAAAGATGAAAAAGACTCAGTCCTGTAGAGATGAGGAGTTGGAAGCTTTTAAGGCAAGTGTTATCAGTTTGTAGGTTCGTTAATGTTCTGATGCATTGATCCAGACTATTCCCTGCAAACCAGATTCCAAACTTTAGTTAGAAAAGTGACTGTTATTAACTGAGTAACCAATCACCCACAACTAATGGAGAGCTTTAGAAGGCCCCAAATTGTATTCTCCACGGAAACTAATGATGAACACAGGTTTAAAATGTGTATGAGTCACGTTTTCATCTACTGATCTGGAGCCAGCTACCCGGGACAATCGTGCAAATCCGTATTCATTAGACACTGGCATTAAATCGCAAGTAGAGGTATCAAACAGCACCGACCATGTCTGAGGGAAATGGAGTGAGGTTTGCAGCAGTTTTTGATATCTGGCCAGTGGTTGGCCGGTGCAAGTGATGTCACAGACTGTCTGAGGACAAAGAAAGAAGACATGGTGTTAGATAGAGCTGCATTTAGGGGAAAATCGGGGCATAACTAAACCTGACGTAAACATTCTGGGAGAGCCAGAATTACCCAGAATGCAACAGCACTTCTGTAACCGTGTCACTCTGGATTGCAGCTGGAACAGAGCAATGTCATTGTTACGTCCACCAAGGGCACAACATATTTGAGGACACGAGACAAATGATGAGGGTTCAAAAAAGATATTTTATTTGGAAATCTTTCTCCTCTGTAGCTTTCTTTGCTCGGCTTCTTCCGATTACTGCGAAGAAAAAAAAGTTAGAGGCCCTCAGATCCCGTGCCCCAAAAGAATCAAAAAATGAAACCCAAAAGTAACAACAGAAAGTTGGACCTGGCAGGCCGATCGAACAGAACAAGACGGTACAGCAGGGGACCAACCCTATACAGGGCCGTCGAAGCCCCTACTGGTACCGGACTAAAGGCCAAAAATAACCTAAGCAAAAGAAAAATCGAAAATAGGACAACTGGTCCCGCCAGGCCAAAAACCACAAGAAAAAAGTAAGAAACGGTTAACAAAAATACCGCATGGCAGGCTGGAACGTCCGCTGCAGACCGCAGCGACAAGACAAGTGCGCACCGCGCACGATGGAACAAGTGGAAGCAGGTGGAAAAGCGGCGTCCAAGCGAAGTTGGAAAGGAACGCCCCAACATGCTGAAAGCCAGCCTATTTATAGGCGGACAACAGCACCACAAATTAACGTAATTAACTGATCAAAAGAATTATTCAGCTCCCAAAATATATTAACAAAAGATCCTTCAACTAAAGTCTGTAAGAAAACAAAGAAAAGAAATAGACAAAAATCTTAATGTGCCCGAAGCACATAACACTCCCACCCAAAGACTCTGAATGGGGGTCTGAAGTAAAAAAAAACTCAACCCATTCAGAGAAAACAAACGGGACTAGAGTCGTGAGAGTGCGTCGGCCACTACGTTGTCTTTACCACGAACATGCTGTATAGAGATGTTAAATGATTGGAGTCGCAGAGACCAGTTCATCAAACGGCGGTTTTTATTACGCATGCGAGCTAGAAAAACTAACGGATTATGGTCCGTAAAAACAACCACAGATCCGCTAGAACCTCCAACATACACCTCAAATTGTTCTAAAGCCAGGACCAACGCTAATGCCTCCTTTTCAATGGTGGAATACCATCTCTGGTACTTATCCAGTTTTTTAGAAAAATAAGAAACCGGATGTTCCACCCCATCAGTACCATCCTTGAGCAGGACAGCTCCGACACCAGAATCACAAGCGTCTACAGCCAACTTAAATGGCACATCAAAACGAGGGGCCGACAACACAGGAGCATTAACTAGCAAATGCTTAGTTTGCTCAAAAGCAGATTGACACCGATCAGACCAAATAAAAGCCAATTTAGGGCTAAGTAGGTCTGTTAACGGGGCAGCTACAGAGGAAAAGTTTTTACAAAACCCCCTGTAGTAACCAACCATCGCTAGATAGCGGCGTAGCTCAGTACGAGTGGTGGGTACTGGGACAGATAGAATGGCCTCTACTTTAGCCTCAACGGGGCGCACTTGACCTCCCCCCACCCTTTTTCCAAGATAGGTCACCGTCGCGTGGCCGAATTGGCATTTAGAAAAATTAACTGTCAAATTAGCCTCACTCAGACGCGTAAAAACTGTTTTTAAATGGTCAACGTGCTCAGTCCATGTAGCAGAACAAATCACCACGTCATCCAAATAAGCCTCACAGAATGATAAACCCGACAAAACAACATTCATTAGCCGTTGAAACGTCGCTGGGGCGTTGCGCATCCCAAAAGCCATCACGGTGTACTGAAGGAAATCATCGGGTGTGACAAAAGCGGAAATTTCCTGGGCTCTTGCCGTTAAGGGCACCTGCCAGTACCCCTTTAGCAGATCCAGCTTTGTAACGAACTGGGCAGCCCCCACATGGTCCACACAATCCTCCATACGAGGGAGTGGATAACAATCCGGCCTAGTCACCCCATTTACCTTCCTGAAGTCCGTACAAAAACGGTCCTCCCCACTGGCTTTAACAGTCAGGAGGCATGGTGAACTCCACGCACTACTGCTGGCAACAGCAAGTCCATGTTCCACCATGTACTCCACCTGCGTCTTCAAACGGCGCCGTTTGTCTGGGTTCACTCTGTACGGGTGTTGTTTAATTGGCTTGGAATCACCAACGTCAATGTCATGGCTGAGCACACGAGTCTGAGTGGGAATATCTGCAAACGGAGACCTATAAGACTGGATCAAATGAATTACATCAGCCTGTTTGGAAAAGTCAAGGTGGGACAACAAGAGAGGCAAGTTCTCCAAAACCGCTGAATTTGGAACCCTCCCCTCAGTGACAGCCGGGGAGAAAACGTCACCTTCAGGTTCAGCACCGGACAGCTCCTCCCGTGCATCTGCAGCTGCCACGACACATGCGTCATCTCGTTCACTGGAAACACAACTGATAGATTTATGCAGAGTGGGCGCACGCTCGACGTACGGCTTCAGCATGTTAACATGACATAAGCGTGAAGTCCGCCTCCGATCAGGAGTAGAGATCAGATAGTCACGATCACCAACCTTTCTCGTGATTGTATAAGGCCCACTATAGCGCGCTTGCAAGCTCGAACCAGGAACCGGAAGTAACGCTAACACTTTCTCCCCAGGCTGAAAAACTCTCAAAACTGCCCTTCTGTCAAACAAGGACTTCATTTTAGCCTGTGCAGTTTTAAGATTCTCTTTAGCTATCTCACACGCACGACTCAACTTCAGCCGGAAATTACTAACATAGTCTAACAAATTTTGGTCAGATTTGTCACACAACCACTTCTCTTTCAACAGCCTTAAAGGACCGCGAACAGTGTGAGCAAAAACCAAGTCCGACGGGCTAAACCCCAGAGACTCCTGAACCACCTCCCGAATAGCAAACAGTTGTAAATGTACACCTTCATCCCAGTCTTTTTCAAACTCCAAACAGTAGGTGCGAAGCATTGTTTTTAAAGTTTGATGGAAACGCTCGAGTGCGCCCTGACTCTCCGGGTGATAAGCGCTGGAATGACAGTGCTTTATGTCCAATTGACGTAAAACCTGTGCAAAAACTTTAGACATAAAGTTAGACCCTTGGTCAGTCTGCACAACCCGAGGTAAACCAAACAATGAAAAAAACGTTGTCAATGCTTTAACCACTACGGGCGTAGTTATTTTACGCACCGGAAAAACCTCTGGAAAACGAGTAGAGGTGCACATCACCGTCACCAAGAACTTATTCCCCGCTTTGGTTCGAGGCAACGGACCCACACAGTCAAACAATACTCTTTCAAATGGTTCAGCGATGGCTGGGATGGGATACAAAGGAGCAGGAGAAATCGTCTGATTTGGCTTTCCAGATACTTGACAAAAGTGACACGAATTACAGTAGCGCACGACACCGCTCTTCAATCCTGGCCAAAAGAAATGACGCAAAATGCGATCATAGGTCTTTCTTATGCCAAAGTGACCTGCTAACGGATTATCATGTGCCAACCGCAAAATTTCTGAACGATATGGAGATGGAACAACAATCTGCTTCACCACACTCCATTCCTCAACAGGAGACACATTCAAAGGGGTTCATTTACGCATCAGATGACCATCATCCAAAAAATAGCCAGTAGAAATGGAGTCAGGCTTATCAGTTAATGCATCGCCGAACAATGACTCCAAACTTTTATCACTTTTTTGGAGCTCGATCAACTGCTTTCTAGACCATGACAGTGTATTTACATCCAACATGTCATCCTCCACAGTTTGCTTTAATGGAACATGTTCGGATTCAGCGTTGAACAAAAAACTTTCACTCAAGTCAAACTCATCTTTACTTTCTTCTCGTTGACGTTTAAGTGCTGCACGCGTAACTGCGCATGACGTGAAAACATCTGGGAATTTACGGGCGAGCGCATCTGGACAGTCGCTCAACACCGGAACAGGTGTAACATCCGGGGTAACCAACACTCGACCCCCAGCCAAGTCGTTGCCCATGATCATGGAGACGCCCGCTACTGGAAAACTAGGACGCACCCCAACCACAGCGTCACCAGACCACAGCTCAGACTGGATCATGATTTTATGCAGAGGAACGCAGATGTCTTGCATGCCAAAGCCACGCACTGGCACACCAGAACCAATCGCAGTGTCGTTATTCAACGGCAAGATTCCCTCCCTAATAAAAGATTGAGAGGCAGCAGTGTCTCGCAATATTTTTACAGGGATCTTTTCACCAGTTAGAGACAAAGAAACAAACCCATCCATAATGAAAGGCTTAAAATCAGCATACTCGCAAGGCTGTGTTGAAAGTGAATAAGCATCGCCTTTCACAGTTTTAACTAGAGCGACGGGCTTAGTGTTCTTTTTCTGCAAAACCGGGCAATTGGCCACAATGTGTCCTCTCTTTTTACAATAAAAACACGTCCCATTAGTTTTTACTTCCAACCTGTTATCCAATTTGCCTTCAACGCCACCGAGCGCAGCAGGTATATCTGTTTCAACAAGCGAGACAGTTTTGGCACACTCCCTCTCATTATTTTCAGAGTGGTCAAACTTACTAAAGAAATGTGAGCGCTCAAAATTACTTTTGTGCGTTAGCATGTACTCATCAACGAGCACCGCAGCTTTTGAAACATTTGAGACTTTATTTTCATTCAAGTAGGTGGTAACTTTCTCAGGCAAATTATTTTTAAAGTCTTCCAATAAAATAAGTTGCTTAAGCTGCGCAAAATCGGCAACATTCTTAGAAGCGCACCAACGATCAAAGAGAATTTCCTTATCTCTAACAAAATCCACATAAGTTTGATTGTAGCGTTTTTTCAACTTACGAAATTTCTGACGATAAGCTTCCGGTACTAGTTCATATGACCTCAAAACAGCACCTTTAACTTTTTCAAAATCAAGGCTATCAGCCACAGAAAGAGACGCATATGCCTCTTGCGCTTTGCCACTTAATGCACACTGTAACAACAAAGTCCACACATTTTTGGGCCACTTAAGTGTGAGTGCCACTCTTTCAAATAAGGTAAAGTATTTATCAACATCCCGCTCATTAAATGGAGGAACCAGGCGAACATTTCTACTCACGTCAAAATCATTTGATTTGGGTTGTGAAGACTCAGCACCAAGCTCGAGTTCTTTCAAACGCAGTTTGGCTTGTATCTCCAATCGTCGCTGTTCAAGATGCAGCTCCTTTTCTCTCAAAGCAAGCCGACCCAATTCAACTTCCAGTTCCTTCAAACGAACCGGGTCATCTTTCAACGAAGCTTTCGATGGCGATCCAACAGGACTTTTCGGTAAAACTGCAGCAGGAAAAATTCCTATCTGCACCAGTGCTTCTAACAACTCAGCTTCAACTGTTCCTCTCTTAACACGTTTATCTACGGTAACCTTGAAATGCTCGGCTATTAACAGCAACTGATCCTTTGTGCAGTTACGCAAAGTATCCAACGTGGGCCCTAGAACAAACTCATCCAGGTCAAACTCCATGTCTACCCCTGGAATCAAGCCACACTAAATCAGGAACACCCCTGCACAAACAAAGCTACAGCACCACCAGAACCGAATGCTCTAATTAATCAGCGCAACGCGCGTCAGCTGCGCAAAAACACACACAAACCCAGCACAACCGCCAACAAACAAGAATCAACCGTAGGACACGACCTGTCTCTAAAGGCACACTTTGTTTAAACAAGCCCCCATAAATATGTTACGTCCACCAAGGGCACAACATATTTGAGGACACGAGACAAAAGATGAGGGTTCAAAAAAGATATTTTATTTGGAAATCTTTCTCCTCTGTAGCTTTCTTTGCTCGGCTTCTTCTGATTACTGCGAAGAAAAAAAAGTTAGAGGCCCTCAGATCCCGTGCCCCAAAAGAATCAAAAAATTAAACCCAAAAGTAACAACAGAAAGTTGGACCTGGCAGGCCGATCGAACAGAACAAAACGGTACAGCAGGGGGCCAACCCTATACAGGGCCGTCGAAGCCCCTACTGGTACCGGACTAAAGGCCAAAAATAACCTAAGCAAAAGAAAAATCGAAAATAGGACAACCGGTCCCGCCAGGCCAAAAACCACAAGAAAAAAGTATGAAACGGTTAACAAAAATACCGCATGGCAGGCTGGAACGTCCGCTGCAGACCGCAGCGACAAGACAAGTGCGCACCGCGCACGATGGAACAAGTGGAAGCAGGTGGAAAAGCGGCGTCCAAGCGAAGTTGGAAAGGAACGCCCCAACATGCTGAAAGCCAGCCTATTTATAGGCGGACAACAGCACCACAAATTAACGTAATTAACTGATCAAAAGAATTATTCAGCTCCCAAAATATATTAACAAAAGATCCTTCAACTAAAGTCTGTAAGAAAACAAAGAAAAGAAATAGACAAAAATCTTAATGTGCCCGAAGCACATAACAGTCATAACTAGGCCCTTTATTATGTTGCACTGAGCTGTGTGTATCTTTAAAACCTTAAGTGGCTGCTTGAAAAGCTTTTCCTTTTTTTAAGGGACAACTCAACATCTGACATTTAATGAGTCAAGTGTTGAGGTTTTACCTCGGCGATTGGTCAGATGTTGTGGTTTTACCTTGGCGATAGGTCAAGTGTTGAGGTTTTGCTTCAGCGATGGGTCAGGTGTTGAGGTTTAAACTCAGCGATGGCTCAGGTGTTGAGGTTTTAACTCTGTGCTGGGTCAGATGTTGAGGTTTTACCACGACGATGTGTCATACGTTGAGGTTTTATCTAGGCTATGGGTCAGGTGTTGAGGTTTTACCCTAGCGATAGGTCAGGTGTTGAGGTTTTAACTCGGTGATGGCTCAGGTGTTGAGGTTTTAATACTGCGATGGGACAGATGTTGGGGTTTTACCTCGGCGATGTGTCATATGTTGAGGTTTTACCTCAGCGGTGGGTCAGATGTTGAGGTTTTACCTCAACCATGTGTCATATGTTGTGGTTTTACCTCAGCAATGGGTCAGATGTTGAGTTTTTATCTCGACCATGTGTCATATGTTGAGGTTTTACCTCAGCGGTGGGTCATATGTTGAGGTTTTACCTCAACGATTTGTCAGATGTTGAGGTTTTACCTCGACCATGTCTCATATGTTGAGGTTTTACCTCGGTGATGTGTCAGATGTTGAGGTTTTACCTCGACCATGTCTGATATGTTGAGGTTTTACCTCGGTGATGTGTCAGATGTTGAGGTTTTACCTCGACCATGTCTGATATGTTGAGGTTTTACCTCTGCGATGTGTCAGATGTTGTGGTTTTACCTCGACCATGTCTCATATGTTGAGGTTTTACCTCGGTGATGTGTCAGATGTTGAGGTTTTACCTCGACCATGTCTCATATGTTGAGGTTTTACCTCTGCGATGTGTCAGATGTTGTGGTTTTACCTCGACCATGTCTCATATGTTGAGGTTTTACCTCGGTGATGTGTCAGATGTTGAGGTTTTACCTCGACCATGTCTGATATGTTGAGGTTTTACCTCTGCGATGTGTCAGATGTTGTGGTTTTACCTCGACCATGTCTCATATGTTGAGGTTTTACCTCTGCGATGTGTCATATGTTGAGGTTTTAGCTCGACCATGTGTCATATGTTGAGGTTTTACCTCGGGGATGTGTCAGATGTTGATGTTTTACCTCGACCATGTGTCATATGTTGAGGTTTTACCTCGGCGATGGGTCAGATGTTGTGGTTTTACCTCGGCGATGGGTCATATCTTGCATTTCTAGATCCTGGGCCGAAGTATTAAATTTGTCTGTTGTTTGAAGGCACTGGGCCAAGCAGACCTAAACAAAAATTCACTTCAGTCCAACAAACCAAAAAGTCGCTGCAAAAACTTGAAATCTTTGTTCGTTACTTAAACAAAAACATTTCACTCTTAACTTGAACTTGTTCAATAGTTGTAGAACAATATGCCTTAGGAATAAAGGTACCACCTCATTCAGCAAATGTAATGCCATCTGTTCAGCACAATAACTCTTCTTGGGAAAACCTCTGTGAGCTTCAAAGTGTGTTTTCATAATTTAGGTCTTTTTGAATGTTTCCATTTTCATCAACCTCTCCTGATGCCGTACTTCAAGGTGTGTCTAAAAAGGTTTGATGAAGATGAGGCTTTATATGTGGCTCTTCAACCTAATTTGCATGAATACAGAACTTGCTGCTCCTTGGATTATTTGTCTGGTTTTTTTTTCAGGTTAGGCTGAGTCCGTCTTAGGTGTAAACATCAACCTGATGCAGCTGCAGCTGATTTTTGCCGTTGATTTAGTTTTTTCACTTGATGATGCTGCTGAGTTAAACTTATTTTGCTTTCATCTGCATAAAAAATCCCTTGTGATAAGAGCAAGGATTAACATCTTCATCTTTGTGATGTTTTGATCTTCAGAACCAAGCAGAGAGGGAGCAGCTCCCGCTTCGTCCGGGGACCCTATCCAAACTCAGAGCCCACATCGAGGCTGTCATCCTGGCCTTACCAGAGGACCTACAGGGCATCCTCCACAAGCCCCCCACCTCATGATCCTCCTATGTTTAGCCTTTCAGAAGGTAATAGGTCTGTTGTAGGTGGGGCTGGGTCCCCGCTGGGTCAGACTGGGGGCTCACTGAGCTCTGGGATCATGAGGTTTAAATCGAAATACTGGACGGCCTAGAGCTGCCAGATGAAGTCATATGGAACGGAGAGAAAGGAGAGCTGTGTGGACTCAAGTTCTCGCACAGTTCACTACTAACCCTGAGCCGGGTGGGGGGGGGATTAACGGCCCCCAGCTGACTTTTTTTACTCTCTGATTTTTAACTTCAGAACATTTTTGTTTTTTAATTTTGACCTTTTGCCATCGGGCTGTTTCAGCCTAACAGTTTTCGGTTTTCATCGATTGTTGTAAAGAAGTGCTGTTCATCGCCACCAGGACCAGGGAGTCCTACCCTCACAAACACTGATTAATGCAAATGAACTAAACCGAGGAGAGCCAAGAAGTGCATTATATTTATATTTCACTAAGATCTTTATCTTTTTAACACCTTAAACCCAAACAGCATCCAGAACCAGCACCCCTGATATAATCAGCACTAATCTGCTGTAAAGCGTCGCTCAGGGGCCCATCACACCGCTACCAGTCTCACATATCTCTGCAAAGGAAGCTACAACTGGTCGAGGATCTCTGCAAAAAATATCCTGCAACCTGCTAAGTGCAAATTTTACTGGGTTTTTCTGTGTAATTTTAACTGATCTGAGTCCAGCTTAATACGGTGGGTGAGGGGGAAGAATATATGATATGTGGCAATATATGATTTCATAGCAAAAAAGGTTCTGCAAATCAAGACTAACACACAAAAGAAAAAAAAATCACACAGAAAAAATGTTGCAAAGGAAAAAAGTTGTGATCACAGAGAAGTGGAAAGAACCTGTGGGCTGAATTCAAATGGTATTTGCTAACAAACACACAAAAATGCATCGCATCCCACTCGCACCATTGGAGACGGACCCAAAAGAGACTGGCCGCCCAATCACATTGTAGAATTATGATTGTAGGCGGGACATACAAGCTGAGCCCACAGCTAAATGAAACAAACATTGCGGTGCAGGAGGATGTAGTATAGCTGCTGCTTTCACATCTTTTTGTCATCTTTGAAAGAGGAACTGAAGGAGCATAAAGTTGGTTTGGTTTTAAATGGCTTTTTTTCATGGGTTACAGTTATTGGCTAGAACAACACTTTGATAGGAGGGTTCTAGGTCTTGCTCCGCCTAATCAGCCGGAGAGCTTCTGTATATTCTCCTTTCCTAGAACAGATTGGATGGGAAGTGGCCCAGATTAATGAGTGGTGAAAATGATTAATCTGGCTGTCTGGTTAGCAAGCGCATAACCTGCTCCAAACAGAAATGATGCAAAAACACACAACGCATGCAAAAGAAACATACTGCAAATAGCAAAAGTACTGCAAGAGAAGAAGAGCTACAAATTAGCTTCATGTAGCAGAAGTGCTCCGTACACTAGGGGGAGCCGTGGTGCTCATAGATTAGGAGATTAATCGATTGAGAGGAAACCTTCCCTCCAGATGTCGTCTCTCCACCATCCTCTTTCTCGAGTGGGAACGAATCTGGAGCCGAAACGGCATAATTGATATTTGGTTATCTGTATACAGTTGAGAGAAAAAGCCTTTGGCTTTATTATTATTTTTTTCCTAATGAATGTTGAACTAGATGAGAAAAGATTTTATAAAAAGCTTTAAGACAAGGGCTGTTTTAATTATAATACATCTAGACTTTGCACCTGTTTCTTGTCTTCGGAGGGTAGAATTTTTTCAAGGTTAAGGATTCAATTCTGATTATTCGAAATATTTTGACTGACTAGCACAGGGGTGGGCAATTCCAGTTCCAGGGGGCCGGTATCCTGCATCTTTTAGATGTGCCTTTGGTTCAACACACCTGCATCAAGTACTCAGATAATTGGGAGGACTCTGCAGGAACCGACTGCATACTGAGGAGGTAACTCAGCCATTTGATTCAGGTGTGTTGGACCAAGGATGGATGTAAAAGTTGCAGGATACCGGCCCCCAGGAACTGGAATTGCCCACCCCTGGACTAGCATTAAAACTAAAACCAATCTGAGCAAAATTATCTCAGTAATATTAAAAAGGTTTTGACCTGGAGACAAAGTTAACCACCTGTTGAAACTCAGCCAGCCTTTTGACAGTTTATGGATTAAAGTCATCCAGCCCTGGGTTATATAGCAATAGGGCTTAAACTAACGATTATCGATTCATCTTTTGATTATTTTTCGATTAATCGATTAATATTCAGATAGCCAAAGGTTTCTTAAAGGAGGCTTTATACAAAATTAAACCAGGTGAAAATAAAACTTCGACTTGAGGAGTTCTGGATAGAGCATGTCGACAGATTAAAATGTTTTTTTATCTTAAATGCAAAATTGTTACATATTTATTCTTACAATTTCGAATAATTCGAAAGTGGGTCACTCTTGGAGCTAGACATTTTTTAATCTGTATGCTCCAATTAAACATCTATTACTAAATTAGTTGACTATTTCAATAATCACAATTATTCCTATTCATTTTTTCAGCCCTTTTATGGACTAAATCTGCCATGGGTCAAATGATTAGGAAATAGTTTCTGTACAACCTTAAGAAAATGTGGTTTAAGAGGAAAAACTCAATTTATCCCAAAACGCCTGAGGCTCAAGCAGCAAGTTAAACAAGACCTTATTCAGATTATTTAAACTTAACATTATTTTAAAATTTGACATTATTATTTTTAAATAATGTAATTTCTTTTTTTGCATTATTTTAAACTAAGACCAGAATTTGAGGTAATTTATGCTTCCTAAAGGTAAATGATATTACACCCTAATAACATCACAAACGTTTGTTAGAGAGAAAAAAGTTGACCTCGCATACGAAATGCTTGAAACTATACAGTTTAAATGTATCAGTAATCTCGGTTTTTATCATGAGAATCGAGCCGCGGAAAAGAGAAATGTCCCTGAAAGAAAAGAAGCGTGTATTCCAGTGATGTTGAATGTTGCTGCGTACGGCAGAGAGTTTCTCAGGATGAGCCGCCTCCCATCTGCAGCCTTGTGGAGGAAACTGATGCCTTAAAATGGGAGCATGACCAAAGACCAAGCTGATTTGAAAACAGAGATTTTCTCAGTTTGTACATAAACCTGACCTAAAGATCACTTCTGACCATAAAGATAAGCCTGTTAAACTCAGACAAAAAGGGAAGAGGATTACTGCTTTATGTCTCAGCTCATGAACTACAACCTGTGGATAAAGATCTAATGTTTGAATTTGGTGTATTTTATTGTTAACCAGCTAAACAGCAAAATGATGTGTCGGCATTGAATAACTGAAGAACATCAAGAGCTGGAGGTTTATAGCTAATGTTTGCTTTAACATGAATTTTAAAGAAAACAGCGTTTTTAAAACCACTGATTAACTCTGTAAAATGAAAGATTTCAAGTATGATATGTAAAAAACCTCTATGAACAACTAACTATGACAGCAATAACAAATAAAAACTTGATAAATCTTCTGTTGCTGTTGTCTTTCAGTGCTTTTTAGAATCCTTTATTGGTCTTTCCGTACAATTCAAAAAATATCCACTGGACTTGGTTTCCAAGATTTGAAGATGTTTCTCCACCTCTCCAGGAAGCTTTCTCAATTCAAATGTCTGGATCCGCAGTGAGTTTGAATCTTTATATAGACAAAGCCTTGTATTGCTTGGAAACATGCAAATGGTAACCGATGAATGGGTCGTTTTGTTCCATTGTTAGCCTGTAATATCTGAACCTGTCTATGATTCTGAGGGTCGGTCGTTAAAGGGGGGGGATTGTCTCCTTTAACGACCGACCCTCTGAATCATACACTTGCTCTCCTGCCAAAGCACCTACCTGTGACAGTAAACAACTCAAGGAACTAAAGAAGTAATACAATGTTAACTACCTAAATTATGCATGCAGTATATTTAGCCCTTCCTTGTCATGCACATCATTGTGACGGTTGGCATATGGTGTAATTTTCTGTTTCTTCAAACTGTAAAATCCTTCCAACAAACTAAATGATAATAAAACTAAAATGTTTTCTTTAAACCAAACTACAATGTTCCTCTTATATTTGCCGAATTTATGTTTGAATATTTTGCAAAAATATGTTACGGTGCATGATTGCTTTTGCATCTAAAGGCTAATGTTTCCTGTCTTACTTGCATTGTTGCCAGGTTGGGAAAAATCCCAAGTTTAGGATGGCCGTCTGTGTAAAAAAATGTTTTTCTTTAGATGTATGGCCTAAGAGATCAAAAGACTTGGGTTCAAATTGGGTGAGATTTGGTATAGTCAGGCGGTTTATGAAATTTCTTTGGGCTGGAAAACGTGAGTCAGTGACATCTGGCAACCCTGCTGATGTGGTGAGTGCGGACTTTACACAGCAGCTGTGACGTTATGCAAAGCTAGTGAAACTGCTTTATAGAAGTCTGTAATGCTTGCAGATTGGTTAATCCAGAATGTGTATTCGTATTGTGTTTCACGCATTTGACTGTGAAACATAATACCTGGGGGTGGGGGGTGGGGTAGATTGAAAAATGCCATGGCTGAAAGTCGTTCCCAATCCAAACTTGGTTGCAGGCTATACATCCTTCCTCTGCCACAAAGTCTGCCAACTCTGCAAAACCTGGATCCAACATTTTAGTGACATGACGGTTCCAGCGTGTCATTGTCCAATCAGAAAGTCTGATTTTCTCTTGATTTAAGTGACTCCTTCAGTCCAATCTTTGGACAACTGTTTAGTTTTCCCCAAAAGGCTCTTTGTACCACGAATGTGTGACCATGAGTTTGTTCAGTACAAGCCTGTTTGTAGGCTTCCTCATCACTTCCATGGAATGTTCCTTCTAGGATGCTTCTACGAAATCTATTTTTTTAAATAAAACAACTTTTGAGTCGGATCTGAACAACTGTTTTAAATTGGCATCTTAAAGCAGGTGCTCCACAAATCTAAGGGGATCTCCTGTAAATGGCTTTTGTGCTGGAAGTCTAGTCAAAGGAAGGGACTCCGCTTGAAAAAGAGCAGGGGGGGATTTACCATTAGGCAATACTAGGCAGTTGCCTTGGGCCCCAAGTTCATGGAAATCAGAAAATGGTTTCAGTAGTTGTTCACCTACAGTAAAAATAAATAGATGTAAAATGATCCACATATTGCTCATATTAAACAAACCAAAAACAAATCTCATATCCTGAGATTTCCTTGTTTAATATGAGCAACATGTGGATCATTTTACATCTATTTATTTTTACTGTAGGTGAACAACTACTGAAATAAACAAAAACAAATCTCATATCTCATATCCTGCTGCTCAGTGGCGCAGTCGGTAGCACTGCTGCCTTGCAGCAAGAAGGTTCTGGGTTTGATTCCTGTCTTTCTGCATGGAGTTTTCATGTTCTCCCTGAGCATGTGTAGGTTCTCTCCAGGTACTCCGGCTTCCTCCCACAGTCCAAAAGCATGACTGTTGGGTTAATTGACTTGTCTAAATTCTCCGTAGGTGTGAGTGTGAATGGTTGTTTGTCTCTGTGTTGCCCTGCGATGATTTCTTTTTTAAGCACAAAAATCGGACTAAATCAGGAAATAAAACAACATGATTGGCTGTAATCTCAGTTTACTGAGCAAAACCTGCTCCCAACTACTTTAGCTGGTGACTGAAACTGAGATTAAGGAAACTCCCTCCCTGACCACTTAAATGACAACGCAAATCTGAATGTTTTATGTTTGAATGGGTTTTATGCATCTTCTTGTTTGTTTGTGAGGGAATTTAACACAGGAGCAATTTATTTCTGCTTTATTATAATTGATACAAGAAAAGATGTAAGAAAACG